CGCGCCCCTGGTCGTGGTAGCATGTTGATTGGTTCGTCATAATTAGCTGAAACAAAAGACGAGATTAACGGTTGGAATAATATCTGAGTACCCCCCAACCGTTTTATCTCCCGACCCGGTGATTGTCATATTTTCTTTTCATCAATGCGATGATCGGGCTGGGTGTTTGGTGTTTGCACAGACCCCAGCCTAGGATGACACCGAGGCTGAAATTTCTGCACGGACCGGCAACAGGGTCGTTTATCACTGGGACCAGGGGTGGAGGTGGAGAGTGGGGGGGGGGGTGATTTTTATGCGCCGTGTCAAACGCTGGTGTGATATCCCTTGTGCACTAAGGAATTTAAAAACTCGACAACGTTCAGAATTTGTATACACGAATAGGAATCTATCAACAAACGTTTCTGGATGAATACGAACCTTGAAGCGCCATGTTTATGTATTTGCCTAGACATGCACAAAAAGCCTATTGAGATGGTCTGTTGGCTAGACAGACCCAAACACCAGGTTTTGATGTGTCCAGTTTGAGCTGATGGACGTTCTTCCGCTGGACAAGCCGTTAATAAATGCCCGGTAGCTGTTCCACTGGCCGGCCAATTACCGACACTTAGCTATTCAGCGTTCTTTTTTAATGTCCGTTCCAGCAGCCATATTGATGGCGTCTAATGACAGGGGAGCTAATTGCGAGCCTGGCTGGTTTAATCACTAGTGCTGCCCTCTAGGGGTTAATTGGGAGTTATCGCTCACTTATCGGGTAGCGACTGGTTAAATAATCGTCATTATATCGTCAACATACCTTCCCCATACCGTCATCGTCATCATACCATCATCGTCAACATACTTTCATCGTCAACATGCTTTCTTCGTAATCATACCATCATCTTTATCATACCATCATCATACCATCATCGTCAACATGTTTTCAATATCAACATACCATCATTGTTATCACGCGTTCATCTTCTACCTGCCTTTATCATGCCACCTATATCAACATACCATTACCATACCACCATCATTAGCATCCAATGTCTATATATTAACAAGATATTTTTAATTATATAAGTCACACGTATGTATAGTTAAAATCGACGCTTATTGCAACACTTAATATCAAGTGAGTTATTAATATGTTGCAATTGATCACAACTTCAGATTCTTCATTTTATTTTAATGTCAAAAATAATTTGACGGTGTAATGGTAGACAACTGATTTCGTTACTGACCCAGACAGGTTGGTTATTTTTGTATCCAGAACATTCCATTTTTAAATACTCCACTCGAATTCTACAACATAATCTTCCTATTTATACCATACTCCTCACCAAAATCTTCCTAATTTAATCATATTCTACACCAGAATTTTTCTACACCCCCTCCCACAAATATTACCAGAATCTTTCACTTAAATTCCACACCAAAATCTTCCTGTTACCTTTAAAATCCACACCAGAACCTCCCCTACAAATTCCACAATCTTCCCACCAGAATATTCCAGTTCCCCTCCCCCCAAATGTCCACTGTTTAGCCAATGAAGTGGCGACTCACAAACCGGCTTATAAAATGTTGCTGACGATTAGCTCAATAAACCCTGGCAGAACCTGTTACCTACAAAAACGTTGGGATTCTCAGACTAATCGTCTTTGTTTCTTCTCGGATTGATGTAATCTTCTTGGTCTCAGCTCACAAATTGGATCAAAGCGTTGTTTGTTTTTACCACTAGTCAGAAACTAAAACAAAAGAATTAATCATTAGCACTGCATGTATTACATGTAACACAAATTACTTCAGGAGTTATTCTACTGCGTAATGTTCAGTATTTAATGGCATATGTAATGTCTTATCATCTAAAGGCGTCGCTGAAACATCAATTTGGGTGTTCTTGAGTATTTGCACAGAATCGCACCGTGCGTGCGTAAAATATCTGTCGCAACTTTCTTTAGCATCCTTTGGTGGGTCCAAGTTCAAAGATTGTTTGCGATGGGCATCAGAGGCTGAGCGTGGGGACGCGAGCTGGGAGGGTACAAAAGAAACGTGTGCTACCCCGTGTGACGCCTTGGATGTTTGGTGAGGGGTCCGTCAATACCGCCAGCATATCTCGATATCGTATTGGCTGACCACATGTAGTTCCACATTTTAAAATAAGTTTATATTTTCATTTATAAAACCAGAAATAGACCATTTTAGTATTGGGCAAAACTTTGGCAGAAATTAGTTTCATCAGCAGCAGCAGGCAAGATTTTTTACCCACAACGTGGAGTGGGGCGAGAATTTTTTTTTTTTTTAAATGTGTTAAAAAAAAACAAATAAATTTCCACGTAAAAACGTTAAGAAAGGTATTCGAACCCCAAGAACCTAAAGACAAAGTATTTATAAAAATATTTTCTTTCATTTCATGGCACCAAGAATAACTTTCAAAACATCATTTTCAGTTAATGGCTGGTTTAGTTTTTGTAGCGCCACCTGGGGAAACTACCCCCCAGCCCCACCCCCGGGGAGCTCGCACCTACCTCAATGTGAACCCCGACCTACGAGTTAAAGCCCTCGCCATTTTTATTTACATTGTTTTGTTTATGTTTTTTTATCGGGGCGTCCCGCGCATGCAGCATGCGCACCTGTCACGTGCGCCGCTAATCCGTGCTCATCACGTGCCGGGGAGTGCTCATTTCTTCCAGGCAGGTTAAACACATTCTGGAGGTTTTGACCTGGAGTAAACTATTTCACCTGCATCTCCTGACGTCTCGCTATACTTTCGGCCAGATTTCTATAAGCCCGTGTAATTTTGTTGATCCCCTGTTCCATTACACATAACCTAATTGCACTGGCTCCAGTATGTTAATTGATACATGCATCTATATTCATTGCGCGATGTGTATTGCCTTTCTTGCACTGCTGTGTCTATCTACCCGATGTCGTAGCTTCAAACTACCACACCACACTACCACACCTTTACACTACTACACCACACTACCACACCTTCACACTACCACACCACACTACCATACCTTTACATTACTACACCACACTACCACACCTTCAAACTACCACACCACACTACCACACCACACTACCACACCTTCACACTACCACATTACACTACCATACCACACTATCACACCACCATACCTTCAACTATAACACCACCACACCACACTACCACACCACACTACCACACCATACTACCATACCTTCACACTACCACACCCCACTACCACACCTTTACACTAATATTGCTGCACCATCAGCCTAACCTATAAGCCTACCACTACTCCTTGGATAACAAAGATCTAAACCCTATAGAAATGTTCTTGTTGTGAGCACATCTTCCATTTGTTTAATCAAGCAAGCACTTGTTCCCTATGCTCCACGAGCCAAACAATACATCAAGAACGAGCCGCTATATCCTCCGAGTGTCAGGTTACTTGCGTGGCGTGTAGAGGCTTGCGTGTACCGTGACGTGAGGTCAGCCACCCCATCATCTCATGGACAGTTTTAATTTAAACCGCCCGTGAAAAAATTATTGTAATCAACAACCTCCTTTGATGGTTTGATTAACGTTGTGGTATTGCCGGTGATTGAATTATAATGTTGTGGTTTTAAGCCATCTGAAACCTCTTGGGTCTCTGGAGTGTTATTTTGACTCGATTCGTTGCTTCATTTTGTTGCCCGCTCCGGCTAAAAGCTTCAAGCAAAAGGAGGCATCTTGAGTGTTTCTAGACCGGCACCATCCAAGCGTGGATTCCTAACCGTGATTGCCGGCACTTTTACACATCCAAATTGAGATTGCCGGCACTTTCACACATCCTAGCCGTGATAGGCGGCACTTGGAGACATTAACCCAACAAGGTTTACAACGAAAGAGCAATATTTTCAACTAAAACAGCACTTTAAACTTTAGAATGTAATGTATCTCTCTGTAGATCTATTTACCAATCAGCCTAAATGTTCTCTGTCTGTTACATCCAATCTTTTCACATCCGTCTGACTTTTACACTGGATAAAAAAAACGAAATGTAAAATTAATGAGAATTGGGAGGGTAGAGTGGCGCAATAGGGAGTGATCTAAGAGCGAGAGCGGCCGAGGCTTGTTTTTGCACCTTATCTAAATGTATTTTTCCCGATCTCTGCTTGGCTGGGCAGCCCTCTAGCACACGTCAGGCAGGACGGGCGTCTAACAGAAAGAGCAAACATGGGATGGGATGGGGTGGGGTGGGATGAGTCAAAGGTTCCGCTTGTCCCCAGCACTTTGTCTCCCCGGCCCTGACGGGTAATGGTGTTATGCCGGGGCCCCTGAAGCCCGGGTGTTTAATGGGGTTTTAATATGTCTGTCTCCTTCGATAGGGGGATGAAATGTTTTACAAGGATAATCACGTTTGGTGCTCACTCTAGGCGGCATTCGCGCTGGAAACGTCTTTAGCACATTAACTAGATGGCTAATTGCACTTAGCACATCACGTGTCAGACCAAATGTCTTAAGCACATCGAGAATAAGAGTAAATACTTAAGAACATCTACAACTAAATACAGTAGCCCATGTCTTGTAATTTGCTGTCTCTAGCAACACAGATACCAAACACAACAGCTTTAAAACCTGGCTATGAAGTAAAGTTCACCTATTTCTGTGGCCTCTGCGTATGAAGGGATAGTTTGATTAGCCGCCTTTAACTTAATGCAAATTAGGGTAAACATGGGCTCATGAACGTCCTTCTTACTCAAGTCTGGGATTCGAACTAGCGACTTTGGATTTAGCGGTCATGCGCTCTGCCGTCCGACCACGCTATCATCTCGCTTAAGTGGCAACAGTTCCACTTCCGGTGGTGGACTCCTGTATATATCACCCCGAAGTCCTTGCATTTTTAAAATATGTACTTCCTGCGTCTATTGTAACTCGTTCAGATTACGACCATGTAACATTTTTTACTTGTAACTCACCTGATGTAACATTTGTACTTGTAAATATATCAGATTACGACAATGTAACATTTGTACTTGTCACTCGGCAGATTACGACTATGAAGACTCGACAGCGTTTCGACAGCCGGAGTTTGTCAACAGCGAGTCCAACGTGACGGTGGTCGAGGGCAGCATGGCGACCCTACCCTGCACCATCCGCCATCTTGGTACCAGGGAGGTAAGTCACGTCTACCAGTTGTCTTGTTACGTCCCTTGCTACGTGTTGCTACATCACTTACTTAGGGAGGTAAGTCACGTCTACCAGTTGTCTTGTTACGTCCCTTGCTACGTGTTGCTACATCACTTACTTTACTCGTCACTGATACAGCATTATCTCACCTTATGTCAGCAGTGACACGCCTCTGTCACTATTGTGACATTAGTGATACGTCACTGTCACTATAGTGACATCAGTTACATAACGTTACATCTTGTTACAAGTATTTCCCTAGGCTTGTTCTAATACTACCAGCCACATGGGAATTTGACAATAAACCAACTCAAACTTCATTACCTTGAAATAAAATACCGATTTCAAATTACACCCCCCCCCCCCAACACCTATCACCTTCTCACATAATGTATCAATTCCACACCCTTACTTTCCATTCCCCCCCCCCCCTCCAGTCGCCAATAAAATTAGGCAGACGATATAGGAGCAGGAAAGGAACTTTGTGCCGCACTAGTACCTCTGCTAGAGTCTGGTGATTCCAATTTAATTTGCTTCAGTTCCTCTTTCTGTGCTCAAAGTCCCAATCTTTATTGGCAGCTAGTGTTGACTGTCGTTAAAGTCTCATCTCTAGTGATGACTGTCTTAAAAGTCTCATCTCTAGTGATGTCTGTCTTAAAAGTCTCATCCTTAGTGATGGTTGTCTTAAAAGTCTCATCTCTAGTGATGGCTGTCTTAAAAGTCCCAATCTCTATGTACATCTAGTGAGGGCTGTCTTAAAACCCTGGTCTGCGTGTAGAATAATACTGTGCGAAAATATGTTGTTATAATTGTTTATAGTTGAGACTACAGATTTAAGCTGTTTTACCAGAAGTAATACAAGTGTTAGCACTTCTTTGTTTCGACATCATGTCTTGATCAGTATGTGTCGAAAATGGCAGATTCGCAATTAATATAGACACATAAGGTTAACATTGTTGTAACCTATTTGTTGTATGTGCTTTAATCTATATGTTAAATAGATATGTTACCCCGTGCCGCATGTATATGATTGATAACAAACTGCATACACTCGGCATTATTATAGACATGGGTCTGTGACTGTGTCGGTAACTATTTCAATGGCAATGACTTTCAACCTGAGCGTTTTTAGTTGTTGGTTTTTTTTTCTCGCTGTTAATTAGACGAGTTTCTAGACGAGTTTTTAGTCCGTGCCAGTAGAGAGAGGGTAGGGAAGCGAGTTGTGGTTATTGAAAAATGTACCTTTAATTAACAATATAGTAGCGCCGTGCTTGAAACCTATCGGCTAATTGACGGCTAATTATCACAATTACTGCCTGGCGCCGACACTGGCCTGGGTAATGGAGGCTCATATATCATAAACTGTTGGCCAGATCTTTGGTTTACGTGACTGGCCAGTGCGTCATGTATCGCTAAATGTTGTCCGCGGTTTTTCACCCCTTTTATATATATATATATATATATATATATATATATATATATATATATATATATATATATATATATATATATATATATATATATATATATAGTTGTATAGTTACAGTACGGATGCGACAAACCTGAAAAACGAGTGTACCTGAAATACTGCCGAGTCCACAGAAAATGAACCGACTAGATTTACATTTTAAAATCGTGACAAATACTTGCAACTGAACACTCTCTCAATCAGTTGTCAGCTGATACTTGGCTCACATTTTTTCTGTCGTGTAGACAGTACACGTTTTCTTGGACTTGTTCGTCTTTAAAATGGCTGTTCTTATATTTCGGTCTAACTAAATGTATTCTCTGTTGGTATACAGTTCACTGTTGGGGGGGGGGTGGGGTGGGGGGGGGGGGTGGGGTGGGGGTGGGTTGTGAGGGACGGAGATGGTGTGTGGTGGGGGGGGGTGATTTTTGGCGTGTGTGAAGTAAAACAAATTCTCCCCCTGACGTGTAAATGATTGATTTTGTTTTCCCGTAAGAAAAAAACTGACAACTGTTTTAAACTAAACCACCAAACATAATTTATGCGGACACTACGTCATAGTTTCTTCGGAAATTCCCCGTCCATTTGTTTTCACACAAATAATGAGCTGATGTTTTGAACAGACACGCAGCTATTGGGCTTGTAAGTTGTTAAAGTAGCTTACCAAGTTCTCGCTCCGGTAGTTGCCAGCTGGCGTTTTTTTGTTTTTTCAAACCAAATGTGAATATTTTTTATTTATTTTTTTTAAGTTATGAAATCAACTTTCGTTTTTGGAATAAAAAAAACTCCGACAATAAGTTGTTTTAAGTAAATTAAGTTTAAAATAACACACACACACACAAATATATTATATTTTATATAGATATAGATAGATCTAGAATACAACCTGTATAATAATAATACATCTATAATCTATATAAAATATGATATTTATAGGCCTAAAAGATTTCAATCGTAAATCTGAAATCAAGCCTAATTTAATTAATAAATATATATAGCCTAGATCTAGATCTAGAGTCTAGATTTCTAGATCTAGAATTCTATATCTAGATCTATGACTTAAAAAAAACCCTCTTGAAAATTCCGACTTAGACAGTAACATACGACATACAGGATTTATTTTTAATTTATAGACTCAAGAGTAGTCTAGAGATCTAGATCTAGATTCTAGATCTAGTTTCTTTTATTTTACAGTGTAGTTGAGTGGAATTAATTACTAAATTACTAAATAGGCTATTTACTTTAAGACAGGTAGACTAGAATATGTTCAATATCAATTTATATATAGAATCTAGATTATTCTAGATCTAGCGAAGTTTAGTGTAGTCTTGTTGTAGAACTTAAAAACTAAATCTAGAGTGTAGGCAACTGTAGTAATTTAGATCTAGAATCTAGTACTGTGTGACGTCATTTTAGGGGGTGGGGGTCTGGCTTTTTGTGACGATGTGTAGGGGGAGGGGGGGGGTAAAAATCGTCAAAAAAATGCGTGACGTCATTTATAGATGACCCCCATGGAGAAGATCCACACAGAAACAGTTGAAGGAAAGGGGCCTAACATTCAAACAGGTAGAGGTACCAACATGATTTTAGAGATTATGTAGATATACATATATATAGGGGGAGGGGTAGAGAGAGAGAGGGTTCATCTGTAAATTGCATCACACATTTTATGATGATTTTTACCTCCCCCTCATAAAGGAGGGCAGTAAAAAGAAGAATGTATGATAGCTGGGTAATCCTAATTTATATAATCAGATTATTGTGGTAAATAAAAGTCAACATATCTAGCCTAACAAAATGCCATGAATTTAAAATATATATTATGACTTAGAGAAAGTTTGGTGAAATGGAAATATCTGCAAATTTGATTTATTGATGATGTGTAACTTGTTTATATTATTCCTTTGGAGCTGATATTAATAAAAAGTTAATGAAATTATAGAGTTTTATCCAATTGATGTTTCTAAAGCCTTGCATGAACTTAATTTAAATATATTTAGCTGCCCAGGCAAAGAACCCAATGAATTTTCCAGAATTGGCTTGTCGTTTGACCGATGGTAACAAAGAGAATCACCCAGGATCTTCGCTGATAAGAAAATCTGAAGACATACCTTATTCTTCTATATCTAAATGTGATTGGTCTAATGAAAATATTTATTCAGTGACAATTGCTAAAGATATTTTACCATTATTTCAAACATCATCTTCTGAAATGTTGTTTTCTATCTCTAAACCTTCCACAATTTCTTCAAGTTTCAAGAGATATTTTAACATCATTGCCTACTTCCTACAGTTCTTATGTTCAAAATTTGCAATTTTCTGAGAAACAAAGTAATAATAAATTTGTACCCAGTGTTTTAGTTTCAGCTCCATTAAAATTTAATAAACCAATCAATTTCAAAATTAAATGTTTCTTATCCCATATGAAAGTAGTCTGTTTAATTTAAGAAAAATCACCTTTAAAAAAATTTAATGTTTGAATGTCAATAAATTGTTGACATGGACTGGTTTGCGGGTAAGCTTTTATACTTAGTGTACAATAAAGATTCAGTTTTGATGTCAATATAGTTGCTTCTGAAAGAATTAAACTATAAACAATAGCATTTATATTAATATCTCAATGGCAGTTCAGTATACTTTCATCATTGTTTTCAAATAACAAAACAGAACTACAGTTTTAAAATTGAAAAAAAAAATGAAAATAATTTCATAAATGGATGGTTTTTTAATTACTTAAAACAGAAGATGCATCAATACAGCATTACAATGTATATGATTAATATTTCTTTTCATGGACAATCAACATTTAAATACTTCATTAAAAGTTAAATTCAGCTTCCTTGTGTCTAAAAATCCACATCCATGCTGTTCCATTTACCTAGAAATTAAATAAATAATATTTTTAACAACTTTCTGTAATATGAAAAAATTAATCATTGATTAAAACAGACAGCCAATATAGCAGATGAATTAAAATTCACCTGTTTCTGTGACATTTGCATGTAAAATTAGAGTGTTCAGAGGTATATACCCAGCCACCTTTAGTTTCCCTATCTTGAGCCAGGTACTCATGAGAGCTGGTACTCATGAGACTTAGGACATCATACCAGGACTAAAACCAGGGATCTGAACTCTTATCTTTTAGGATAGAAATGTGAAAGCTACTGTCTGACAGTCCCACTATCAAGCCATACATATTAATACTTACAGTATATAATCTTAGTAGCAACATATTCTTTAAGAATTAGAACACTGAATCGATTTCAAACTTGGGCTTAAGCTGAAAAATGGCTTATTATAAAAAAAAAAATTCAGCTCACCTTTAGTTCAAGATCAGCACCAATAGCCACAGTAAAGTGTGAGAAAATTGCTTGCCAAGTACCTAGGGAATTTAAATATAATAAATTATTAAGTTTATCCATATATTATATTAAAATAATTATTTAAATAATATGAGATATTAATATATATATATATATATATATATATATATATATATATATATATATATATATATATA